AAGCCCATCGCAAATCATCTTCATGGAATGTTCTTGTAGGTTTTGATTGAACAAAAATTCTACTGTCCATTATGACACAAGTGTCTCTTTTTTGTTCAAGAAAAAAAACCAAGATCTAATTCTGATTGGATAAATGTGGCTAAGGACAATAGACACCTCTCCTTCCCTTAAGCTCCTAGTTATGTCGAGGTAAATTCATGTCTAAAACCTAACATGAGCTATCTGCTAAACAAAAAATTACAATCAACATATTCATCAGCCTAAATCATTATCATCGAATCTTTTAAGAAAAATCAGAGATACTTTGAACTTCATCAAATCTAACTAAAAAAACTCAAGTACTTTGAACTTCATCGAAACAACCAACAAGAAATTGAAATAGTTTAGAACTAAAATAGAAATTAATAGTTTGATAGTTTCTGCACTTGAACACAATTCAAGACTGTACATGAACACTTGAGAGGCTTGCTCTCCTTATCAATTGTTGGCTTTTTGGCCGGACTTGTCAGTGGTATTTCTTGATTACGAGTTTTGAAGAAAGCTTGGCAAGCAAAAGCAATGCGCAGATCAAATGTGGCATCAAATAAGATGTTTTGGTATGTAGACTTTGACCACAAGCCATCAAGTTTGAATTGTCCTGCACAAACAACTGATCGCCTTTGGAAAAAACCTTGCCACAAACCTATAAACCCAATTGAACACTGAAACATGGAAAATGAACAGAATTCTTGTTTCAATATGTCGCGAGTACAAACCTGCTGATTTTTATATGTGATCTCAAGCTGAGAGTACAGCAACATCAATTTATAGCCGCCTCTGATCTGATCAATCCTTATATATGATTTTGAAGCAGATGAACAATAAATTATTTGGAATAACAGTCAGTCTATGATGATATATTTCCTCACCCATGTACATTTGCTTTTGAAGTTGATCATATGAAGAAGATATGATGACACTCAATCAGGCCATTCAGGTGAGATGCATTCTCATCTGAATAACTGTGACTTGGAGGTGTGAGGAGATCCGCAATGCAAACAGGGAAATGCGCGAATGAATCAGAGGTCAGAACTTCAACGTCGGCTCTCTTTTTCTGCACTTTCCACAAGCGATAAAAGTATCACTTTAATGACTTTGTTCCCATTCTTTGTCACAATCCGCCTTAGTAAACCTAGAAATTAAACATAAACAATGTCATCGAGCACAGTACCTCATCAAACAGCTTTGAAAGAAGCTCCATCTTTGATTTGAAGTCTCCACGAGATGCTTTCTGTCCGCATGCGGATGGAATTGATTGTCCGTGAGCCAAAATCCGTAGTCCAAGGACTTTCTTCTTCTTCGTATACAGGATTGGCTTGTCGAACTGCAGAGTTTCTTGAAAAACTTACAAAAAAATTCCGGACTAGTAAGAGAGTGAGCGCACAAAATGCTAAAATCTGGGTTATGGTGACGATGAAACCTTGTATGACGGTGACGGTGACACCGCAAACGATGTACCATTGCTGTCAGCCCTGATGGAATTAGTCAGGGTTGATCTAGCCAAAAGTTTAGCAAGCCCTTCTCGCACGACCGAAATCTTTCTCTAGGATCCATTCTCGCAAAATCAGGGGACGATAAAATGGAACAATTTCTGGATCCAAAGAGCCTAAAACGTGATTTTGATTGGGACTAAGGTCCATACGTAGAGTACTTTGGAAGGTTATACAACTTTTGGCTACATCAACCCCGAGAGTATGCTATTTAGATTGACGGTATATATACACCGTTTGTGTTTCACTGTCACCTAGGGTTTTCACGTTATGAGCCCAAGATGAGGCCAATCGGCCTTTTCAACTAGCATTTCTTGTGATGCACTCGGCCTTTTCAACTAGCATTTTTTGTGACTCACTCTTGGGAGTGGCGATGGCAGATCAGAAAAGTTTGGAGTTCTCGATTTTGCGAGTGGTTTTTTGGATTCAAGCTTATTTGTTAAGATTGCTAGGGGCATTAGGGATTGTAGTGACTTGAGATTTTAGAAAGCCCGCCACTTCTCACACAAAAAAAATCTAGGGCCACTACAAACGCTAATGCCCCTTGGAATCTCAACAGATAACCTTGAATCCAGAAAACCACTCGCCAAATCGAAAACTCCGAGCTGGCCTGATCTGCCATTGCCACTCCCAAGAGTGCGTCACAAGAAGAAGCCGACCCGCCTCGTCTTGGGCAGGGAAAGCGAAACCACTAGATGACAGGGAAACATGAAGTGTGTAGGTATGCCGAGATAACGGAGAGCATGAACTCGGGTCTAGCCAAAAAGACTTCTTACGCACACAGTAGGTCCTCCTCCTCGTTGTATCTATCAAGCCAAGAGCGTAACTATAGTCAGGTTGAGTGATAACGGTGCCACTGTATCCACGTGGAGGTTGCCCACCCCTACTCTCCATCCCTACTCCCACCACTCCATCTCGAGCTATAATGAATGAGCAGAGGAGCCATTTCCAGCTTCCAAGAGAGCGATGCGCTTCCGCGCCTTACGCAGTAACTTGAGTGGAAGCAAGGCACCGCCAGTGTCCATGAAACACCTGCTACACATCCTTCAGATGCATTTCTGTCCATCTCGTTGACTCAAAAGTTTGTTGGTGTTAATACACATAATCCTTCCAGAGTTTCAACCTCAATGTACCAAACCTCGACAATGCTGATGTAGAATTGCGTCAGCATTGTCGAGGTTGGGTTGCGAATGTTTGTAGCATAGTGTCAGAGGGTGCTACTATAGCTATTTTGAAACCCCAAATGGTCAGTATTGAAACATCATAAAGAATATGTCAAGAAAACATGTTGTAATTTAGGTGGAAATTTATTTCATATAGCTTGCATATGTTAATCAAAGTTGCTAAAATGTGTAAAAAATTTGATAAACTAAGTTCCGTGGGGAGATAATTCACAGAAACTCGTGAATTATATCGCTAACAGTTTCTGTTTAGACTCTATATTGAAGTTGTTCGAAAATCAGATTATATGTAAAGACTATACGTCGATCCAATTGCACACGATTGTTTGAGGATGACTTTCAGTCTCCACTCATAATATGATCTTTGTACAATTTCAATGCAAAGTGTAAATAGAAGCAGAAGCTCCTAAATTTTTTCACCATGGAACTCATTTTATAAATTCACATATTTTACTACTTTTGATTAAACATCTGCAATGTACATGAAAACATTTCCATATATATTCCAATAATTTTTCTTGACATATTATGTTCACTATCTTTGATTTGAAATTTAAAATTGCAATAGTAGTACAATGAGTCATTCACCCTGATCTACATCAACATTTCAACCTTTGGTACGTTCAGCTTGAAAGTTTGAAACGATCATCTGTACTAACATCAACAGGAATTGCATTCAGAGGTTGTGCAGGTGATGTTCCATAGACACGGCGACCAACTGCTACTCCAATTTCAAGGCCTCGCATTGCTCCTTTGCTTCTGCGGCAAGTACTACTCGTCCCATACAGACGCGTGCACTCTCTCTTGGAAGCTCGAGATGGCGTGCTGCAAGTGGGGGTGGCACAACCTCGACATGCATACAGTGTCACCCTTATCCGCGCACCTCTGGTATTTCTGAGTTGTTTACGGAGTACTGTACTTTGCCAACTTATACTTCTTTTTCTTCAGTAAACTGTTCGCGCCAGACACAAACATTGGATGAGAAAGAAGAGATCTGTAATGAAGTCAATAATACGAACAAGACATTTTGGATTCAAAAAAGAGGGGAAAAAAAACATCTTATCGCTTTTGTTCGCGCTAACGAACAGACATTGCACTTCCAAGCTTTCTTTACGAAGTTCAATTGAGATTTCAATGTTTGATGCCTGATTCACTTTCGATAATCAAAATTTTGCAGACAGATCTTGTCTTGTGACAGGTTTGATGTGAACGCTCGTGTACCTCTAGAGGACTGATGGCTTCCGCTGCCTATCACGGGGATACACATTTCAAGCTTCTTAGATTGCGCAACGATAGTAGTACCCTTGTCTCCTTCCACTACAACATTACAAGAATTCCACCACCTACACGACATTCGCATTCTTCCATCAGCAAGGAATCAATCGAAAATTGCGCAATATAACCAACCGCAGAGCCCAAGTGTGGACCAAGAAAACGCAATCACAACGTAAGAGTCAATCGAGGGCAAAAATGGAATGACTGCTCACGTCAGGTCTTGATGTGGCCAGGCGCAGCAAAGAAGTCTCCACTACGACTGCATCACCAGCTAGACAAGGTCACAATCTCGAGACACTTGTTTGGGTTTAGTGTTTCAATACGCGCTCTTTCTCTTCTTCGTTCGCAGTCGAGCTTCTTGAAAGAGATTCAAATTCGGAAAATTCAAATTCGACTACAATTGACCAGACAACGTATCAGTTACGCAATCGAGGTTCTATTGATTCGAATATTTCAGGCCACGGCCGTCAAAGAGACGTTCGGAGTGGCTCTAGTGAAAAGTTGCAAGTAGCACGGGTCCGTATGTCATGGAAGAGACCGGAGTAGCATTCTCGAAGTGCCGACAAATAGAAGGATGCGGTTCCGTATTCTCCGGGAATACGGCTTCGAACCGGGACCGCGAGCGGATATGAGCCGAGGGTTTCCGTCATGAATACCGGGTAATTCAGATCATGCGTCTGCAAGAACGTCAGATCCGGTCGCTTTGCCGGTCATTTCGTTCCGTCTGCTCGGCAGCCGCCCCTCGACACCGGAGCCTGCAGGTGAAGCTTGACGTAGACGTAGGCGTGGAAAGAATCGACTGCAGCAGCTCTCGTGACCGGAATCCCTTGAGGACGAACTGTCAGTGAACGTCTTTCTCGATCGAGCTCCGTGAAATTGAATGAAGGTGGCCAAGGAATTTGTCCCTTCGTGAAACATTGCCTTCGACTCGTAGGCCGAAACAACTCGATTTGCATGGCGACTATTCCATTACATTTCGTGTCCACATAATCGGATGCTCGTTTACGCTTTTCCTAGACCTGTCTTGCGCGGCGGAAAGCTCGTGCCTTCCCGCAGCGATGATGATGTTTGGGTAAGAAAGCTCAAGTTTCTGACAGAATCTCCTAGGACTCGAACAGTCCGGCTACTCTCGGACAGTGATTCGGAGGTCTTAATTTGGAGCTCCTGCATACGCAAGAAATCGCAGCGACTTGAATCTTCGTTCGTTCAAGTCGCTCTATTGCGATTGGTTCCTGAGCCGGGCTAAACTTCACAACCACGACAATACGCGCAATCCAGACTCCTTCATGCTACAAAGAAAGACTCGAGAAAGAACCTTGTGATCATCTTCTTCATTATCTTCATCTTCGGATCCATCCAGTCTAGAAGATAAGCCCGTCAGAATGTTGGTCGATTTTCAAATTTCTCGAAAAGGATGTTATATACTTACAGATTACACAGCTGGTGTGTGATTCCACAAAGTTCTAATCACGTCGAAGACTGCACAGCTGATCCAGTCCTCTTATGAATGAAAGAATGATTGATTGATTGAACGAACGAAGGGCACAGGGAACTCCAGTGTCAGGGTAGCACAGCCCGAAGTCCGCTGGCTGGGTGTAATGTCGTGCCACTACAATGGACCGAATGCGAAGCTGTTGCCTACTAAGTCGAGATACATGAGGAACTCGAGATTGAAGAATCGGGGAACTTTGCCGGTGAAGAAGTTGTTGGAGAGGTCGAGGATGTTCGTCGAAGGGTTCAACATGGCGGGCAGATCGAATGGCAGATCGCCGACGAGCGCGTTCTCTCCCAGGTACAGACTGGACACCAACGGGAAGCTCTTGAAGAAGCTGGCGCCGAGGCTGCCTGTGAGCCCCGTGGCCGTTAGGTCAAGAATGCCGAGCTGCGAGACGAAGCCTACTCCGCCCGGGAGAGGAATGTTGAGAGGATTGTGCGAAGCATTGAGAGAGTACTGCAGATTCTGGCTGCTCAAAAGCGCTACGGGAATCGGGCCGCTGATGTTATTGCTGGAGACGTCGAGAGTAGAGAGGTTGACGAGCTCCGAGATCCATGTCGGCCACGGCCCCGCCAACCGATTCTCTCCGAGCCCTAGCTCGCTGATCACGTTGAACCCGTCGGTCGGCACCGATCCGATCGCCGTCAGGTCGTCCAGCTGATTTCCATCGAGCCTCACGGTCTGCAATCTGGCCAGCGACAGCGGGAACCCGCCAGTGAGCCGATTGTTCGACAGCAGCAGAGTGCCGAATGTGTTGTTGCCGAGTGAGTCCGGGATGGGGCCAGTGAGCTGATTGTTCGAGAGATCGATGGCCACGGCGCCCACAAAATTGCCGAGCTCCGGGGGAATGGTGCCACCGAATTTGTTGTTCTGGAGCGAGAGCTTCTGCAGCGGAGCCAGCGCTTCGGTCGAGCCTGGGAGATAGATGTTCCCTCCGAGCTGATTGTCATTGAGCTCGATCTGCGTCAAATTCTCGAGGCGGTACCACCACGACGACACTCCGCCCGTCAGCTGGTTGTGGTCGAGAGCCACCACCTGCAAGCTCTTGAGGCCAGTCAGAGCGCTGGGAATGCTCCCGTTCAGCGAGTTCGCCGACAGCGACAGGATTTCCAGCTTCTGCAGCTTCTGCAGCGAGCGCGGAATGTATCCCTCGAAGCCATTCTCGGCGAGGTCGAGCTCGACCAGCGTGATCAATTGGCTGATGTTCTCCGAGATGGCTCCCGAGAGTTCATTCGCCGCCAGCCGAATCGCAGCGATCTGCGTCCACTCGGTGACGCAGGCCGGCACATTGCCCGTGATCGCATTGTCCGTGAGGTCCAGCACTTGGAGCTTCGACAGATTGCACAGACTCTCGGGAATGAGTCCCTGCAATCCAGCCTGACGCAATTTCAGGCGCTCCAGATTCCCGAGGTCGCCCAGCGAGTCGGGAATTGGACCATTGAAGCGCACGTTCTCGATGTCGAGCTGCGTCAGTGCTGTCAGAGCTCCGAGACTCGCCCCGACCTGGCCTCCTGCGTAGGCCGTGTCTCGGACTGGAGAGCCTGAGGAGAAGAACGCCATGACCTTGAGCTCCACCACGCGCCCCAGCTCGCAAGTGACGCCCTGCCACGAGCAGCAATCGGCCGTGCCATTCCAACCTGCGAAGACGCCGTCCCTATCGACGAATCCGGCCTTGAATTCCAGCAGCGCTGCGCTGTCTTGCGAGTCGCAAGTCTGAGCGGAGGAGAAGTTCGCGCTCATGATGCACGCGAGGGCGGTCGGCAGCGCGACCACCCACCATCGAGCCCCTCGAACCGAATAATCCGCCATGATTCCGCCCCCGATACGACCTCAGCACGAAGGATTATGGCAGCCGGGGTCTCTTCAGACGCAATGCTGTTCAGTGCCCTGCGTGCCAACCATCGTTCCACTGAAATTAAGCCAGGTCCGGCCGGAGTGGGCTGATTTCTACGTCTGTCATCCAAGACAGAGCTCGACTGTCGCCAGAAATTGCTCGATCACATCGATTGTCTCTCCACGAGCATATTATCAATCATTAGTGATGATTGATAGAAGCACGAGGTCTCCCGACATTATCACTCTCTCCGTCAAATTCCCTCTCGGATTTCTACCATTCAATGTCTGGCATAAATGTTTTGAAGCCTTGTCCGAACCTCTATCTCCAGGCAGAGAATGTTCGGCAAGTGCATCTGGTCTACCAAACTGAAGTTGAAGCTCGCGACCGAGAATGCTCGAAATACTCGTTGCTGAGATTCGGGTTCGAAGATTAATTTCGTTCTGATACAGCAGACTTGTTTGCAGTTGTTGGTTAAGTGTCGTGGATGTGACAGAGATGGATGAGAGTTTCTCACTGTGATTTTTCGATAGAGGATTTCTATCTGATTTACAAGCCCGGGAGCATTGTGAAATCGGTGCATTTGAAATTGGCTTGTTTGGCAGGCCCTTTGCAACACACCTCTACCGGGTCTCAATCACGCAATAAACGAAACATGGCAGCAGGACAAGTCGGCGGAAACGTACCGTTGTATTTGCATGTGTCTGTCATAAGAAGGGGAGTCTGACACGGTCACGAGCTATGTCACGAATTCGGTCACGTGCAGCAGTAGCAGATCTTTTTGGCAGCAGCATCGATCATGGAAGCGATAAACTCCAGAGGACGAGAACGGTAGACATCTGATCGAGAGAAACATCAAAACACGGGTCCATCGATCGAGACAGATCGCAGAGATGCAGAGCGAGGGAGGGAGGGAGAGATGCCTGCCTGCTTGCCTGCGGAAGCAGTCGCTGGCCCAGCCGAACACTATTTTATCCTAAGTCCGACTTTTCATAGCAACATGACCTCCTGAAGACAAGAATGACTGCCCCCTGCCAATTACAGGTCTACAGATCCTCAGTCAACGGAGGACCCCATTAAAATTCTGCAGCCTTCATGCCGCAATTCGGGGTCTTGTCTCTACCTGTTGTTCCCTATGCCCGCAGATTCGGTGCTTTCATTCTCAAAAGGTGCACCGATCCTTGTCCATGTAGTCCCCCGGCACATGATTCCGGCCCTCAGTCACAACATGGTCACAACATGTCTGGTGCCCCAGCTTCCAGGTACCCGGTCGTTTGGGCTTCTTGCCTTTGCCTTTGCCTCTGCTCGCTGAAAGTCTGTCTGCCTGTCTGTTCAGGTGTTGTTCTCACAGTATCTCAGTGATCATTCCGTAGGTAGTAAGAAGCATCTGCTGCGCCACCGATCGAGGAAGCTTTGCATGTTGCAGTGACCGTCTTGAGAAGCGTCATCATCACCATCAGATTTGAAGAAAATTCAGCCTCGCTTGGATGGTCTTAGACCATCGCCAGAGCAGCAGCATATTGAGATGAACCTGCATGTGGCTGGCTGGCTAGAGATCGGCAAGCAATAAACTTACGCTCTACCTGCTGTGGATGGGCGGGCCCTCATGTTCCGCGGACGGTTCATTAGAACAGAGATGAGCAGTTGTCGCTAGCCACATCTGAGCTTGACATACGTATTGATCACCGAGCCTCGGTGATCAATAATTATTCGGTCTCCGCTAAGGCTGGAAAACTGTGTGGGATGGCTGTTTGATACACGCAGATTCCTAAACTTGAAAGCTCAGGGATTGGAAGATGTCGGTGTTACGACTTGAACGAGAGTGCAGTTTGGGAAGATCTCGAGCTCCGTACTGGTCATTACTCAACGAGGTCCTCGTGGACAGCGTTTTGTTTGGTGGTAGCGACGGATTCCAACATTGTCAAATGCGTCTCTTGGCTTACACTGTGCTATGAAACGCAACATGGGGGCCCGGCACACTTGGTACAAAATGTTCGGCCTTTCTGCAGGCCGGCAGCGGGCGAGTGGAATCGAAAGAGAGATCAGATGACGTGTAGATCTCTATCCAAAACGACGTTTCGAGACTCGTCGAATCCTTGACTAACTGAGATCAATGGTCACACAGCAAGTATCGCAGGTTCCTCCATGCTGTAGCTGCAGCGCAGCGTTGTCTGCGAGGAGGCTCATTATGAGTGCTCGCTACTGCCAACGATTGTGACCAAATAGTCCAGAAAGAAGATTCGGCTTTTGCCAGAAAGCTGCATTCGGAAATTAGGCCTAATAAGTCGATAAAAAACTTCCCGGATTGAACAGAAACATGGAGAGTGTGGATAGAGTTCACGTGGGTCTAGATTGTATCGACATCCTGGATTGTGAAGCACTGTCATGATGTATGAGCAAGCTATATTGGTGACTGCGAGTCAGACCGACCCTTCATATCCATCCATACCCTTGAACGACTCTTGCAGCCTGAGTCCAGTTCCTAGGCCCTTACACTCTTCCCACAAGCCTCCTGTTCAAGGGCGGTGGGTGTGGAATGGAATTTGGCGGTACCAACTATCACTGGCCACTACAACTTTCGAAGTTCTGATTATCTGCTTCAAGCACAAGTAGTCGGTCATCCTCAAGTGAGCCAAATCCTGAGCAAAAATATGAAATGGCTCGCTCAGTTGATGGACTTTCCGCTTTTTTCAGCCTAATTAGTTCCATCGGCGTTAGTCGGAGGTTATTCTTCGATCGCCTCCGTCGTGGCATGTTGGCCTCTCCAATTCCTACGAGGTCTTGCTTCACAATTTTCGTGCTTCAGTTGTACTCGAGCTCGATGTACAACAAAAAGTACAGTAGTCCCTGGTCCAAAAACGTACAGAGGTCGTCCGTCTCAACGTACAGACCACAATGATCAGACGCATAGTTCGAACTTAATGGAGAGACTCAGAAGGGAGTCATGTTGGATGCTAGAGGTTGTACCTGGACGACATTATTCCTCCTTTGACCGGGTTCCAGGAGTCATGGCTGTGTTTTTCAATTGTAGAAGTGTTGTTTGCAGAATACATGGGATAAGCAGAAAATACTCAACGTGGAATAACTGTCATGACTGCACGAACGTAAGTTCGTGCTGCATCGTGCACTGGAAACGCTGTCGATGGAAGCAATTCAGGGCTGAAGGGAGCCCGGGAGTCCTAATGGGGTGCGGATCGGTTTGGCAATTCGATGCGTATGCTGAGCAAGGGGACTTGGGGATAGCACCGTCCTGATATGGTTCGGATGCCGTTCGTTCCAGCAGTTTTTCATTTAATATATTTTATTCTTCTTAATCTCAATTCTTCTTGGCCTTAAGGACCTCGAAGACCTCGTAATAAGTGAATTTTTGTCACTTCATCTTTCTGTATTTTTATAAACTCTTATCGCACACGCAACTATTTCATGTTCGCCGAAGACAACTCGGTTCTAGAGCCAGAACCCTCCCTTCTCCTCGTTCTTCATGTTTACGCAACTATTTCATGTTCATGTTTCATCAAGTGAAGGCACCTTGCCATGAAATACCATATAATCTTAGTGAGAAAATTTTTCTCTGAGAAAAGGCTTACCTTCTGATTCTTCAATCTGATCGCTTTTCATATACTGTATTTTATTTATCATGTTATTACCGTGATAATCTGTAGTAATGGTGTTCTGCTTGGAATAATAAATCTCCCACTCACATTGAATCCCGCACACATGCATTTCTTTTTTTGAGTTGTAAAGAAGTATGAGAAATAACGTAAGCATCACTCGATGTTTCCCAAATAATTCCCTGGATAAAGAAATGTCAGAGGAATCCTACGTCAGCGTAGGATTTAGTTAATGAAAGCGATAACTTTAGACTTTTCCACAAAAAAGTTAAAAGCACAAAGAAAATAACATTCGATGAAAAAATTCACTTAAAACATGGTCTTGTAGTATAAAATTGAGATTATAATAAACTCCATTTTGAGCAATCTGCCATTACATTATCACATTACTCCACTCAATTTGGTATTTTTTTATTGATCTTATAAGTCATAACATACTATACATTTTATCTTCATTTACAGCATCGAGATTCCCTAAAATATATAGATGTGAAGTTATTTTATATATGTATTTATTTTATCTTGGATTTAATGGCACATGATGCTGCAAAAAATACAAGAACTATACTTGTACCTAATCTAACTTCTTCATCGCAACGTGTATTATCTCTGTTGCCTTCGAACGTATCTGGACGTCCTATATTTTTGGATATATATATAGAATTATATCTAGACTATTTTCTACATACATGAGATGGTTTAACTTGTTAATGACAACCGATTAGAATTTCTGTCTACAAATTGAATATTCAAAATATGCATTGTGACGAGGTCCAAGCATGGAGGTACGTCTTTTCTTGCATGGTCGCCAACAACGCCTGGAAATGAATTTGTTGGACATTCTGGGCCGCCCCATCCTTAGCTCATAGCGATGGAGCCCAGATGAAGGAGCTGTAGTTTGGATTCACAAGAACAGTTTCCGACGGACATGGTTTCGAGTCATTCACGACCTCTATGTCCTTAGCACTCTTGAGCATGTCACTTGACCACAGCTCAAACATACCAACAGACAGGTCGATCGGATGAATTCCGTAACCAGCTTGTAATCTTAAGTCCAACTTGCAAATGCCAGGTTCCTTTGATTTGCCTGACTGCACACTGTCATCTGACAAGAGGTGATAATTCAACTCAACCAATCTGAACTTCAATCGATAATTCAGATTTAGCATTGTGTTCGTTATCGCTGGAGCTGTCCACCATGACTATGTCGGACACCTATTTCAAGGATTTTTTTGGAGTCCTTTGAGAGACAACTACCGTCTGTCTAGTGAGCTCCCAAATTGATCGGACCGGTCGATTTTTGAACGCACTGTATCGTAGGAGGGGAAGTGTAGGACTGAAGGCGTTGGCAACTTTCTTCGATTCCTTATCAGAGAATGTCCTGTTAAGCATTGTGTTCAGCTTCAGTCTAGAGCTTCTGGTGTGAAGAGGAACACGGAATCGCTAGATTTGCTATTTTGACTGTACACCATTCCCTATTTCAACAAGTTCCTCCTTGAGCTTCCTCGTTCGTGGAGAAAGGACTTTTAAAGAGTTTTCTTATCACAAATTATATATAAGACAACTTGGAATCTCCACATCTTGTTCGAAAGCACCATTGCATAATCACATCTGGTACAAGACCACGATGGGGCTTCACAATGTTGTTTTGGCCTTTCTGGATATTTGCTTACAAGATAAAAGCCCTGACGTTCCATATCCGGATAGAATTATTAGACAAACACCGTGACCTTTTCAACAGGAGAAGAGCCTGCATGGCATGACTGCCATTATCGTTCCTCATTCGTCACATGTAGAATTGAATTCAATTTATTTTCACTCGAGCACTAAGCTAAATTCTAGTTTATATCATTCAATATCTCGATAAAACCTGTCTTAATATTTCTTCAAATCTGGATAATACAACGAAAATCGACGGCCATCATGAGATGACGATAAAATTTTGGAGCTATCTTATTATGCCTGTCCATCGTTTGACTATTTGAAGAGTACACTGATGACCAGTAACACATGCAAATTATCACTTGTTTAGTCTTACTCGAGTTACCTTACGATCAGCGAAATTGTGACACCAGTTCGCTTGTTCGCCCTGATTTGAAATGCAAGAATACTTTGTGTGTTACGAAGCTTCACGCTTGCTCTTTTATTGCGTAAATTTACTTCATACGCTCATGCGTAGTAAGTACCTGCTCTTACAGATCTCAGTCCGATCGTCTTATCCCAGAACAGAAGAGAAGTCCGTGGCCTTTGCCCAGGTGCGATTGTAGTTCCACCTCAATTTTTCTCGTACTGTGGTCTCCTGACAGAAGTGCTCGGGAGCCCCATCACCGATGGCGAGCAGTTGAAAGATGGAATATTGTGCTGTCTCCACTTCAACGATACGTCGTCTCTGACTGCACCACTGCCATTGTTCACGTGTAAACTCATATGACCGTCAAAGTTTGCAACGTCAGCGTTATGACAATCAGGGAAGAGATTCAAGTCTCTCCACGTCCATATTCTTCTCTTCCTTCCAGCTCTTGCTCGGTCTTAAATCGACGGCTGAACATCTCACGGTCCTATGATTTCATGACTGTCTCCGACAGCTACGTGACAAGACTTGCTTATGCTCGGCTGCATAATTAGACGAAGGGATTTCCAATTGATTTTCAAAGTGGCCAAGACGTCACGAGATTCTATAAGCCCCATTTAAGGTTTGTATATCCTCCTCCTTCGCTGCTTGCTTACCTGGGGACACACTTTGCGTGTGGAGTCCTCTGGGTCCGTTGTTTGGAGATCGAACTGCAGGGCTTCACTCCATAGCAGCCGCTGCATGCTGCAATTCCTGAAATCCCGAGAATGACCTCAGTACAGACAGGTAAGTGAGACGAAGAGTCTTCAGCTCTTGGATGGACAAGTTCAAGAGCTTTTGACCCTCATTCTTAACTCTATAGGACGCCCGTGGTCGATGAATTTGAAGAATCTGCGTTCACTGACAGCGTCGACCATCTTTCGAGGCCAGCTTCATCAGTCTCTGCCTCCGGGAAATCGAGCACGGGCCCCTCGGCCTGAGTGTCGTGTGATACGTAGGGGTGATCAGGAACCGTGCAGGTATTGCAGCACTGCTGATGTGTACTTTGCTCAGATTTTCCGACATCAGTTTGGCATTGAAGATCGTTGCTTCGTCTGCACGAGGAGCCATGGTCGAGCTTCGGGTACCAGTGACAAAAGCCTCTGAAGAGTAAAAGAGATTCTAATAACTGGCCAAGCTCAACGATTGCAGAAGCTCGAAGGTTGGATGATAGATGATGCCTGCTCAGACGGGATGGTTGAAATAGTCACAGCACACTTTCCAGGGCCTCGGATGCCTCCCATATAGCTGCCAACATTGGCTTTTGGTGACAACAGTGACGAGTTTCGAGTCCATGAAACAGACAGACCCTGATGCTAATGGTCTGATATCCCGGGCGAGTGTCTCGTGGAATAACCTCGAAGGCAGCAGCAGGTTTATCCAAGAATTACTTGATCTTCGACATTGAAAGGGTCGATAACTCGAGCTCCAATTGAAGACGGCTTTCCATGCGTGCAACAAGCTCGCAGTATTGGTGCTTCGACGTTCACCTTCACACGGTTATATGGGCTGTGTCGGGTTTAATCAGGAAAAAAAAATAACCAAGCAAAACAACCTGGTGACAATGTGGTCGATGACCCACCCTTTTATGGGAAGAGTGTCATACTTGGTCGATCAAATATCGGTGCAAACAGACAATTGGTTCCGTTCCAACGCCATGATACCTCCTCATTCATCGTTGGCAATCCAAGCCCTCCACGGAATGTTGTGCTGAGTCCTGGATGTCCTGGATGTTCAGTTCTGGAAAATGCTCTGAGGAGATATAGAAAAAGTGCATCGGCCGGGAATCGAACACGGGTCTGGTCCGTGGCAGGGAACTATTCTACCCTTAGATCACCGATGCCTATTCACCCGCCGCCCGGGGGGCTCGAACCCCCGACCACAAGGTTAAGAGCCTTGCGCTCTACCAACTGAGCTAGGGCGGCTTATTGTCACAAGGATGAAATTAAATTTCATCGTTTATTCCTGTGCAGAAAATTTATGAGCTATATTTTGAAGAGCAGCCTGCATCGCCAGATTCCATAGAAAGGGAACAGAGCTGCATAAGAAACCATTGTTTTCAGATTTCATGTAAGGCTTGAAGGATTTCTCGAAAAAATTATAATCAATGATGGAAATGCGGCTATCGTACATGCGGTTCACATGATTGTGAGTTTGTGACAAACAAATTTCAGAAACTTCAACGTCACCGTGGTGTGTATATGATTGGACTTTGAACATTCTCACGAACTGTGCATCACGAGCTCGAGCACTGCATTCCACTATTGATGCAGAGCTGATAGGTGATGGCGGATGTTTTTGGGTTCCACGTTGTGAGGAAGACGGAAAAGAGAGGTCTCAAAGAAGGTGATGTGAGTGAGAGCTGGAAGAATCAGGTGCACTCGGTTGGAATCTGCTTACACCGACTCTCAAGGTCTTATGAGCATGATTTCTGAGCTATACGATGCCATAATCTGCAGTGCTCTCAGCTACGCACTCTCCGTTGATATGAGACATCCAGATAGAAGCACACCACAAAAGAAGAAACTTCCTTGCATGCCAAGGTTGGAAGTTCACCTCAGGGTGCTTTCTGGATTTGGAGAATACGAAAACTCGCAGAAAAGGACCATCGTAAGACCAGGCCCTTCTCCTCTCGGAGCTTCTTCCTCTTAATTTGTCAGGCAAAGCTCTGCAAGAGATGGGCTCTGAAGTAATCTTCCAGAAATTAAAGGTCTGTGGTAAACAAGTTTTCCAAATTTGTCAGTCATGTGAACTCTTCCTGGTCATGGGAACAGGTTTGACGAGCACAACTCACTGGCTGCACTATCTATCGCCAGTCTAAAACCCGATTACGTGCTGTGTTTTATAGGGCTCGTCATTTGTGTTCGATGAAGCTGTTGGGTTCCCCTGGATATTATACTTTTTCATTCAGTTTCCGAGTACTGACCTTTTCAAGCTTCCCATATATTATGGACTTGAATCCCTAAATATTTTACCATAGATTATATCTTGAGGCCTTCAACACGAAAACAATAAATTCTACACTCATACAGGAAGGATGGGTTATGTTTATTATCTAATAGACTGAAACGAAGGGCTGAGATATTTTATTCAAATAAATCAAGAGTTCTACATTATTCCCCAGTTAGTAAAATTTATGAGTCGCAAGGTATCATCACGCTGAGATCCAATGGCAGATTTTGAAAACAGCATGGAAAGAAGAGACAAAGTGGTAGAACACAATCATGTTATCCTTGTATTATATGTCATCGACATGAATATTGTTGTGCATATATATATAAACGAGTGATTGTCCTTATCATAATGAGATATTTAAATATCTTCACTGTTACAAGTTAAAATAAAAAATATCAAAAGCTTCTACCATGTGAACATCAAAGGGATTCTCATGTATTCTCATCCAAAGTTGACCCACAACCATACGTGGATGGAATCTCCAACGGAATGCGATGAGAGAATACTATGTGAAGGTGAAAAGCCATGAAAATCACAACCAAAGACTTCTGAAGGTCAAAGGTGGAAGTAGAGGTGAGGAGCCAAGAGCATACTCACGTCCTTATCAATTGGACTCATACTCATGGATGAGCATAGTAATAATAGCAAGAGTAGTTAATCTCATGTGCTCCTTCACTCCACTATGAAGCCTGATTGAATCCAGGGTCTTCACCCTGGATTCACCCTCGACCTGAATGGCGTGGTATAGGAGATGAATAACGCATCCCCTCTCCCACACAATTAAATTTGATGTGAAATTTCAATTAGATCTGAAATGGAAAGCATGACCTGTATAAAAGTATGGTGCTTATGCAAAAGTGATCCCCCTGAAGCCAAACAGGAGTTTCTGAAAGATGGTCTCATAGCCTTCCACCGAAAAGCTTATCAGACTTCATTCACGAGACCATCTAAGAAGGTTATGCAACCGGACTGGAGACTGGAGATTACTGAAAAAAAAATGGAGATGTTCCTTATCTGCTTCTTGGAAATGAACTTAAATGTCAACTTGGACCCGGTGTTACTCGAATGTGCCAGAGAAAATAGCTGATAATTCACCTGATTCGGCCCAGTGTGAGTTAGTTAGGGCATGTTACGATATCCGCTGCTTGAGGTGTCTGACAAAGATGGCGGGAAAGCTCTGAATCTATCACAGTGCAGTCAGTAAACAGCAGAATCAACTGAGCAACAGCAATGATTCGACGTATTAGTCCGTGACCGTCCCGTGGTGAGATCAGTGACAGTACCTACTGTTTCTGGAATTCGTCGGATAGTAGAAGTTATGGAAATTTGTGGATTCCGTGTTACCGTCCAAATTGCAGTCAGTGATGTCATCTATAATTCACTGAATTCAGCAGCTGAAGGTTTCCAGGTGTTCGGGGAATATGCTGAATGGATGGTACCATGCAGCTTACTGGATCGTCCTGATGCGGATTAGAGATTAGAATGGCAGAAGGGTTGTGCATGGAAGTGAAATCGATTTCTTGTAAACCTTAATCATGGATCGAGGAGGCTTGGACTTCGACTTGGAGAAGACGAGGTTACTCAGTCTTGCGTCTAATTCAGGGTTTGAAGATTCCGTCGCGCAGTCCTGCCTGCAGGAGATCATCGATCTATATGGTATGTCCTCTTGCTCGAGCTAAATCTGTGTTTTCTTCTCCTGAATTGACGCCTATGGCGAACAATGCTGTTGCTTTACGATGTGAATTGGATGTCACTTTGGAAGCGGAACATATTGGAGCTTCCGAATGTGAAAATGTGCTGACTGGATATCGTTTAACTTTTGCAATATCCTTTATCTTTTTGTGTTGAAATTCTTGTTTGGTTGGAACCAGGAGAAGCCTGAAAGGCGACGGACCTGGTTTCTGGAACCTGTCGTTGTTGTTATTGTTGTTGTTGCTGCTGCTGCTGCTGTTGAATTCTGAGACATAGGCAAATTGGTGTAAATATCATCCCAAATGGTCTACTGTTGAGAGAAGGCAAATCAAAAGTCGTGATATATGTGGCTATCAATTTAAGAGCGTCTGCATTACTAGATTGCCACAAGGATTGTGCTTATGCTCGAATTATTGTAAATAGCAAGGAGGTCCAAGAAGCCAATCTGAAGATTGAACAGTATGTTACTTGAAGAGCTGTAGTTCAAATAAACAGTGCTGCCCCTTGCCGGACATTTTGATATATCTCAAGATGCAACGCGTTCTTCGAGTGAAACAGGAATATGCCTAGTCCAGTTCAATCATCTTTCATCAAGAAGTAATTTCGTAGCCTGAACCATGTCATGTTGATTGTTTTGTATTCCTTCTTGGTCGTCGGCTGAGAAGAGCGAGTGTTTGGTCACATAAGATGGGTAAGTTCCGAATGAGGGATTGTGGTCATGAACTTTGAAGATATGTAAATCGTGTGTACAGGAGAGGATGGACTGGATTTCGTGACTGTGGAGCATTGTGGGGAAGACTATCTTACACGGTTAGCCGATTCCATTCAAGGTGAATAGGCCCTCGTTAATTCTTTCATAGTCCTTTTCAAAGCCTTTATTCTGCTCCGAGATTCAATAAATGAAGTGTACTTATGCTCAGAATTTTAGTCAAGACTCATACGTCAGAATAAAGGTGTCATGTGCATTCAACATTGCAGATCTAGCTAACTGGAAAAATGTCTACTGCAGAGGATGAAGTTTGGGACGCTGGTGCTTTCGACCCTGAGTGGCCTGACGTCGAGTACAGGCTCGATACACAAGACCCTTCTCCCGAGAAGGATCTTGTGTTGGACGCAGCTTTCCTGGAAGAAAGTGAAAGTGAAGAGGAGTACGCACCTGATTCTGAGGAAGTGACAGAGGATGAAGAAGAAAAGTCGCCTCTGAAAAGACGAGCAACCATGATTACCAAGGTTGCAGCAAAGAAATCTAAAGGCACTGTTTCGTCTCAGGACAACCTTCCTATTTCATCCTTATCGCAGGTGAGCTGTTCGATTCCGCTTCGTGTTAAAGTCGTCATCACAATCTATCTCCGTTGTATCGGCTCATAGTTGGAAGGACTTGTACGAATCCGCACGTGCATTGACTTTCATTTTGAACGAGAGTTTCTGTTTGCAGGAAGTCAGCACACCTGGGATAAATGGCGATCACCCTACAGTTCATCAAGTTCGTGAGGGAAAATCGATTACCCCTGTAATGAAAGAGAGATTAATATCTGTAGCACAGATTCAGTCTGTGGATGACCTGGAGCTGGCAAACATTGCAGTTTTTGGAAACACTTCTTTTAGGCCCTTGCAAAGAAGAGCATGCGAAGCCGCGATGGCCGGGAAGGATTGTTTCATTCTGATGCCGACTGGAAGTGGAAAGAGCCTTTGTTACCAGGTACAAGCTCTCAGACCAAATCACTGATTAGAAAATGAACTTTCCAAGTTCGAAAATTAACGTCGTCCACAACTAATTGAAGATTCGTACTCTCGTCTTGTTGTGAGATGCACGCACTTGAGTTAATATTGCTGCGGTCATTTCGTAGAAAATATGTGCTCTAGCTTACACGAGCTGATGAAGTTTTATCGTCTTGCAAGTGAAGCTCCCTGCTGTTCTTACCCCGGGTGTTACCATCGTCATATCACCACTGCTTTCACTGATTCAAGATCAAGTTATAGCTTTGGTGGAGCACTGTGATATTCCTGCGACCTTCTTGAGTTCTCAACAATCACAATCTGAGGGGAACGCCGTAATTCAAGAATTGAGGTACCTTCTTCTCATGTTTATTCGATACATCTACTTGCTGAACATTGGGAAACGATGTCAATTGTGTGCTTTTCATTAAATTGCTTGATATACTTACCAATTTACTTTCATTTTACGTAACTTTCATCATGGCTGCAGGAAGCCAAGGCCATCATGCAAACTTGTTTATGTGACCCCTGAGAAAATGGTCGGCAGCCCTAGTTTTCGAGCAATTTTGACCATATTAGAAAATAAGGTGCCATTCTTCTTTCTCTGCTCTCGCTTTTAGCCTCTCAATGATTTGTTGTGAGGTTGTATCCAGCTAAGACCTCCACAGACACGGAAGGTCTTTCCCAGCCCGCAAAGATTTGTTATAACCGAGACCTAAATAAGTAGTTGATGCGCTTCGTAAGTAAATGCCGACATACTTCAGACAGTTCCGTGATACCTTAGTCTAGTTATTCTTGACATGTTATAGACTGTACAGAAAATGAACTTTTATGTTGTGATCTGAACGACTCTTTAATTTATGAGAGATATACTCGATATCTTCTCAATCAAAAGTTTTTGACTCTGCCTTCCTTGTCTCCAGAAGCATAATGTAAAGGAACATGGGTCTTCGCTATGTTTCAGGGACAATTGGCCCGTTTTGTCGTTGATGAAGCACACTGTGTGAGGTAAAGGCAACTCTTAGCACAAACTTTAACATCACCAGAGAAAGTCAGCACGTAAGCTATAAGTATTGCTTCCGTTAGTTCGAAACTACAGAACGAGATTCAGTGCCAGATTGTTATCCTACTTTTCTTAGTAATGCTGAAAGCTTGAGAACTAATGGATGATCTTGTGGGTCATTGGACAGTCAATGGGGCCATGACTTCCGTCCTGAATACCATCAATTAGGGATACTGAAAAAAGACTTTCCTCGAGTTCCTGTCATGGCTTTGACAGCAACAGCTACCCACGATGTCCGGAAGGTGATCCTTAGCCTTCTGTTTTCATGTTGATTTCCAGGTCCTTTTGGTAGATGCACTGCTCTCTGTGCCTCTGTGGCTTAGTCGATTTAATTGAGTTGTAGTCATCTGTAGGTAGTCAGCCCAATAGTTCGGGAGTGCTCTGTCTTCTTTTCGAGACGAGGTGTATTTAGACTCAATATTGTTCAGAAGCCTTTGTTGCTGCAGTGATCATCAAAATGGAGTGGATGGGTGGTTGTAGGACGTCATGAAAGTTCTGAAAATACCCCAAGCGGTTGTTCTGGAGATGGGCTTTGACCGGCCCAACCTGACGTACGAAGTTATAGCGAAGGAACCGAAGGAGTCAATGAAACAAATCGGGAAGCTTCTGAAGGAGAGGTTCAAGAACCAATGCGGAATCATCTACTGCCTTTCTCAAAACGAGTCGATGGATGTTTGCGAGTATCTCATGAAGGAGTGCAAGATCAAGGTCGTCTATTATCACGGTGGCTTGTCAGGTCCCCAACGAATCTTAGCACAGCAAAGGTGGCAGAGAGGGGATGTGCAAGTTGTGTGCGCAACTATAGCCTTCGGCATGGGGATCGATAAACCAGACGTAGTAAGTCTTCTTCTCTCTCATAGACTTTCGCGCAGTTACTAGTTCTCGACGGTACTCTCCATGAGCGCATCAGATCTCTGCTTACTGAATGCTGATGCTCTCGCCGTGTAGCGGTTTGTTATCCACCATACACTGTCAAAGGCTATCGAAGGCTACTATCAAGAATCCGGACGAGCTGGTCGAGATGGACTTCCAGCAGCCTGTTTGGTGCTCTATCGAAAACAAGACTTCAGCCGGATTGTGTGCATGCTTAGGAGAGGCAAGGGACGCAAAAAGGAGCGATTCAAGGTGGACATGGCACAAGCAGAGAAAATGAAAGAATATTGTGAAGAGAAGGTAGACCTCCAACCTGCATCCAATCTGGAGTTCCACTCAGAAATGGCTTGCTTATGCTTGAAATCACAAATCCGTCGAGTGAAACCACTTATGGGTTCTGCCCGCAATGACTACGTTGTTTCACTCGAATCGTGTTTGACCTGTCGACATGGATTTCTGACTTGCGGGATGAATATTTACTGGCAAGAGGTTACGAGGTTTCCACAATGCTTGACATGGATGAGATGTGTTTTGGCCAGTACATCTAAACTTTCTGCTCCTGTGCAGAGTTGTTGCCGGAGACAAACTCTTTTGAAGCATTTTGGCGAGTCGTACGACCGGAGGGCATGTCAGTCTGGAATCAATCCTTGCGACACCTGCCGGTAGATCGATTTGAGCAGCAAATTGTGGTAGAATAGAAGCTGGGGTAGATGATAGGAAGTTATCAGAATGCCGGTCTGTTGTAAGGTTCCGTAAGAAATGATTTCTCTTGGGAAGAGAATGCTTTCTCTTACGGTGAGAAAGGTGGTCGCAACTAGTTCAAAAAGTCGATGAAGTCCTACAAATTAGTACCTCACTCAATGTAACTGCGCTGTCTTTAATGGGTCCTGCAGATGGTAAATTTTTCTCTGGTAAATGTGGTTATACGAAGGCAGTACACATGTTGTGTGAGAGTGTGTATTTTCAATTCGGATCGTCATCTGAAGTTCGTGGTTTTTTCACGTCAATGAATAATCAACAAAATCCACATGCTTGAGTATGCTCAGCTGCACTGACAAGTTTCCACGCCTAGCATGGACATTTGTGAACATTCCGAATGATGGAGATCAGCTGATTGGAGTAGTCTTGAAGAACCTAAGAATGGATGAATTGTTTCAGAGGACCCTCGGTACAGCATTATTTTCGGCTGACAAGGAGCGGACAGGATTTGGTGTGCAAGCGTTTAGCACGTGACAGGTGCGAACTGGACGGAGTGGGTCTTCTTACATCTACGCAAGATTTACGCAGTGAAATTGTACAGTGCACTGACAGAGTTTTGAACCATTGACGTAATTCACGCATACGTATGGAAGGGTACAAGGGAGTGGACTTACCTGTAAACTGAATATCTATCCGCCCAATTCTGGTGAATTTTTTGATGTGGTTTGATGATCAACAGACGAATATACCTGGTGTAGTGAACATGTAAGTTCACTCTTCAAGTTCATAGAATAGACGATGTAGTAGGTGTCAAATTTTCCTTGCACCTTAACGTTTCCTCGACTGCTAACCAGCTCATCTGATCTGTTCTTACAAATCGTTGTCACGTGTACGCTGTTACCTATGAGAGAATTGACCATGTTGACTGATGTTCAAAGAACTCCGCCCTCGAATTTTAGGCAGATTGTCGACTGACACGAGGGCTGTAGAAGTGACCGGGTGATTGCATCTACTTCAATTCGTGATATTAGCGTCACTCAGATCTATGATCTTGTGTAATATTTCACGGATTGGGTTCCGTGCCAAAATCCCTTTAGGTAGAATACCCACTAGGATTTTTGGACTCTAAACCCTAATCAATCTCTGGTGTCAACTATGGAAACTCAGCTCCATAGCATATTTCTAAGGGTGGAGGAAGACGGGGCTAGGGTTCGATATATCGGCCACTTTCTGGTTCGCTTGCTACACCAAGTACAGAAAGATTGCAATCAGTTGCTTCACAAACACATCCACTTGGAGAGTTGTGTTGCCATGCCTCAGAGTGTGTAACAATGGAGATCTTCACCAGTCGTGAGACTATAAGAGAAATCCGCTTTTTGGTCATCACAGGCAGCAGCTTCATTATCTAATCGTAAGAAACTGGAGGAAAGATGATTCGCGTATCCCGTTTCAATGAAAATGTTTCTGGTCTAGACCGGCATCTGTCGGAGCGCGCAGCGTATGCTTATCAGACACTTCGCTTTCAAGACACTCCCAGCATCTAAAGTCGCTCAGCTCAGCGGGTGTATAATCATGTGATTGTCGGTCCACAGGCTACTACCCCTGTGGTGACATTCACAATAATTTCTGTTGAGCTTGATATAAATTATTAGTCATCACTGCGACAAGCCGGAAGCCCCTATCGTCACGCAAATCGAAGTACCTAAGCTTCCCACAACCGTGATTCTCCAGCCTGATTTGCTGAGGAAACAGGCAGTGACAGTCAGCGCCCTCAGCAGATCAGACAGGAAATAGACTTCCACATGAAAACTGAAAGAAGCACTCCACACGAACCGACTACAGAAACTCTCAAATACAGAGATTGCAGGCCAATACTAGACAAGTGCGCTGAGAGTTTACGAGATTGGCAATTGAGAGCCGAGGGTCCTTTTTATTCCAGCTCTTGACAGGATTGAATCTGCGTCGCCATCTGTGGCCCTCGATGCCAGGACTCCAGGAAGCGGCGAGCCTAAACCCTAAAGCCTCAATTTCGTGACCGCAACCTTCTCGGCGGCCCCCTTCCCCTCGCTCCTCACTTGTGGACAAGAGAGTCAGATCGCTCCATATTCCCTCCACTAAACTTGGCTTAGTGTAGAGGATTTTTTCCTCATCTCGTTCATTTAAGCGGGTAAATACTTTTGGTCATAAATGCACTTTGTCAAGGTCTTGGCTGCATTACAACCGAAGTTGGGACACATCCAGCGTACTCTATCGACCATTAGACTGCGGCAATCATTTTGCAGATCGAATCAGAAATATATGGAGCTTAAACCCCAGGTTACTATCTAACAGAGTATAAAGCTTATAACAGTTTACTAAGTTGGGCAACATTGCCCAAGAGAAATCATAAGTTATGCACAAAATTGGTCCACTGTAACTGGGCAAGTGCATATTGCGAGACATTTTTCATTATGACAATTGGCTTAGTTAATCTGATCATACATTTTTTTTCCAATCGACGATCGAAATATGTCAATGGGTTATATTTTGTACCACAAGATTTTGCTAAGCGCAATGATCTTGATGTAGTTAATGCATGATGGTCATGAATCACGTTATAATTCTTTGCTAGATATTTTGTGTGTTATGATATATTTTTCAATTCTAATATACACATATAAGTTTACTTTCGTTCTCTAATTATCGGTGTATTTTGATGACAAGTGTACTTTTGGTATAATTATTGTATTCTTGGATACATGAAGTGCACATTATCACACTGTATGATGGAAAATTTTTCTCTGAAATAGCTTTGCATACATGCATAAGGCAGAGTGCAAAGATTTTAGCTAATAGGTAGTTTTTCCGTTGACAAGTCAATCATTGGTAATCTTTCAGGGTATTAAAGAGGCTACTTACACATATTGTTAGCTATTTGATTTTTCAGTATTACAAAATGGTTAAAAACGTACTTGCATTAGTTTGTATAAACTCATGCGGAAAATATATATGTACACACAGATATATTAGTGTCTACATGAATCCAAAACATCATAAAGTCATTGTAGGTATGTTTTCGAACTCTGATAAGCATGCTTTCGAAAACCTCTCAAGTGTCATGAATACTTTTCTAAATCTGTCTGTTCATTATTCCTCATTTGAATATACTGCAATATATATAAGCAAGATGTTCAAAAATTTAATAGCTGCTTGTTGCTTCAAAACAGAAATGAATTCTCTCACAATTTAAAAAACTCTCTAAATTTTTTTTCCTTTGACACATAATATATTAAGTGAAAATCCCTTAAATTATAGAAGAAAAATAGTTTGAATAAGTCACATGATTCTAATTTTTACTCAATGAAAGTTAGGATTTAGATCAATAATAGTATTATTATTGACTATCCAAATTTCATATGCTAGCAGATTTATTGAAGAAATATTTTTTACCCATATGTATAATCATTCTATGAAACATGTGATTATCATAATAGAATGTAAATTTTTATATAGACAAATTTTGAATGTTGTTTAAAGTAATTTCAATAAGTTTTGTTTGATAGATTATAAATAAAATTAAGTTCGAAAGTTAAATCACATGTTTTCGAAGTTTTATAATTTTTCCAGAATCTAGGAAGTTAGTTTCAAAACTGGATGTTGTATGCAAATTTAAAACTCTTTAATTGATAATAATCTACTTATCACATTCAGTTGAATGCAGTCTGTTGTAATCTATTGAATTCATTGTAATTTATGTTTTATTTGCAAATGATTTTGCCATGAAGTTTCAAATCTCTTGTGATTTTGAAATACTTGATGAAAGATTCATTAATTTATCATATTTCACTAGAAATAACAATAAGGTTTAACTGTTGTAAAATTGTGTATGAAATTAAAATAAAATAAAACTAATTTAAAGATTTTTATCCTATGTAGTCATTACATAATAAATAGGAGGAAGTAAGATAAATGAATACGTTGCTATATTTGAATGGATTTTTGAGTCTGTTTTATCAAAATTTCAAAAAACGAGCTTAAAATGACTTGCTTCAATAAAAAAGTTTACTTTAAAATTCTTTTCATAAACACCATTCATTCTTCTTTGTACTTAATACATGTATGTGATTGTTTTTTAAAAAAAAAGTAAATATCAATCCAATTTCATTCACGGGTGATTCCTTGGATCCCCAACGATGCGTAGATATAGCACTATATCCTTTCCCTGCACAATCCTTTTCCTATAAGGGGAATCCAATTAGGCCAACCAGGATAATGTGGATATTCGTCTCAAGACATACTCATGTTCATAGTAACATGGACACGTCTGCACTCTCATTGAAGGTTTGCCATTCCATCCAATGTTGTCCAATAAAATCTCGGGTAAAGGACCGTAACTTTAAGATCTGTCACCACTCTCATTCCTGGAAAATTGCTAAATACTTGACAGAAAACAATAAGACCTGAAAGTAACTATTGGTAAGCAAACCATTTATAGTTTCTTCATTAGGGTGGATGTGGAATGTATCATTTACCGACTTTTTATATTTCAATATGCAGTATCATTCTCTACTTTGTACGATCCATGGTTGTTTATAACAACCATGATTGACTGTAATCTGGGGATCTGGTTGAATTTCAGCTAGGGTTTTAGGCTCGCCGCTTCCTGGAGTCCTCGCATCGAGGGCCACAGATGGTGACGCAGATTCAATCTGTCAAGAGCTCGAATAAAAAGACCCTCGGCCCATACATTCCTCAGCAGTCCGACTCGGAATCTCTGAGCTGCTGTATTGGAATAAATGCTATAGCTGGACGAATGTTCGCTGATGCCCTCCTTGGTGATCGTTCTTGAATTCGGTTCGTGTTTAGACTTCGTGAGGAGAGCTTCTTGCAGTTGCCATGTAGAATTCTGTTTCCCGTCTGCTTTGCTGAGGGCGCGTACTGTCACTGTCTGTTTCCTCAGCAAATTAGGCCGGAGAATTGCGGTCGTGGGGAGCTTAGGTACTTCGATTTACATGTCGATAGGGGCTTTCGGCTTGTCGCAGTGATGACTAATAATTTATATCAAGCTCAACAGAAACTATCGTGAACGTCACCACAGGGGTAGTAGCCTGTGGACCGACAATCACATGATTATACACCCGCTGAGCTGAGCGACATTAGATGCTGGGAGTATCTGGAATTAGCGAAGCGTCTGATAAACGTTCGCAGTGCTTGTCGAGAGATGCCGGTCTAGAGTAGATGCCTTTTCTTCCTT